TTTGTTATAACTGTAAGTATTTTTCATATATGCGTTTTCATCCTAATTATTATTCATTATGGGTGTACGTATCAATAGATAAACAAGTGTATTTTTGACTAAAGTCGACGTCGTCGTGTTAACAAATCATCACTTATACCAGTCCTTGTGTTCTTAATTTCGCGTTGTGGAAGTTGCAGAGGTCCATCATTTCGAGCACAAGTGATAAGAGTTTCCGACACAACAATCAGCTACAACCAGATATAACAAGTAGCGTTCAATCGACAAGATATATCAGTTTGAAAAGTGACCATTTCACTACAACCATATATCGATGCAAGATTAATTATATATTACGTTTTTAGCTTTGTTCTGAAAATAATCTTCATTTAAATGATAAAGTGACAATAACGTCTAATCATCAAGGTTTACATTAAATAATTCCGTGCAACTTGAAAAAATAATTGGTTGGTTTGGTTTATATTAATTGTTTCTAAGTAGATTGTGTTGTTGAGACTAAATTTAAACCGTTTGTTTAAAGTGCTTTTTTTAAAATTATTGATTTACCAATGCTTTCAATTTCAATATATCTAATGATTAGTTTGTTTTATGACTGCCATGGTTTCAGTAAAATTTAAGTATCCCCAAATTTTATAATTATTGTTTAAATTATTTGACTGTTTACTTATTTATTCTAATGTTATTATTAGCTTAATTCAATATTATATTTATGGTACAATATAGAATTCTCAGAACAAAATATCTCAACACGTTTCTTACATCATGGTCGATTCTGATGATAAATATTGAGTGATTGACAGTTAGATGTTAACAGTCCAGTAAATCGACATCGAAATAATGTACATTCTTTTCGCTGGATATTGCCAGCAACCACGATATCTCTGATTAGGCTTTCTGTAGCTTGTACAACGAAAGATTGTATACTTTTCAGAAACAAACCTGAATAGGTTATGCGATTAACAGACATAATGATGTATTAAAACAAACAAAAATAGATAACGTGTTGAAATATCTAGATGGCAGGAACAGGTAGCCCAGATGTTCAAGCAGGATGCCAAATCTACTATGGTATTGATTTTAGCTAGTTGGATGATAGAAAATCAATAAAGTTTAGCATGGGATATTCATAAATTGGTGGAATTGTAATAATAATACTACTACTACTAATAATGGTATCTACTAGTATATATATTTGGTATTCATATGATTAAACGTATTTTGTTTTATTTATACAGTTAGTGGTCAAAAAGAAAAATTTCCATCATCCACATTGTTTAAACTCTTAGCTATAGATAGCTATTTAAAAATAATTAATACTGCAGTGATCCTGTTGAATATTAGTGAATTTATTTTTCCTTTTTTTAAAAAAGTAGTTGAACATGTTCAGCTTGTTTTTTTATTTGTATCAGAAACGTTTGAGAGAGTATGCTTTTTATAGATCCTTTAACCAACAAGTTAATTTTATTAGTTGAGATCATGAGTCAATTGAAGCTAGATCACCGTGGAAAACCTGAAAGAATTGGACGGTCTTTTCGTCCTAGTATGGGACTCCTCAGCAGTGCGTCCACGATCACGCCTCACGAGATTCAAACCTGGACTTATCCGGCTCGCGCGCCAGCGCTTTATCATTAGACCACTGAGCCTGCATCCAACGGTGTTAATGCCTAACTTCAATCAATCCACGGAACTGAGCGATACATCCATCATTGTCCTCAGTGAGTTATTATCTCATAACAGACCCGGTTGAACTCCACTGGTCATGTATTCAATTTGGACTATTGTATTATTATGATTCAAGACAAGTATTATTCAAGGATAGGGGAAGTGAGTATATCTCATTCAGTTGAGATATTATAAGACACAGTTACCACTATAAAATAATCAGTAATATTTGTTAAATCATGATTATATCTACTGAAAAATCTTTATTTAACTAATGTTGTGGTGTATGCTACTTATGTCGACAGATATAAATAGTATGTAACACCTATCGGAACTCGAATGCCTGCCAGAAGGAGGCTGGAAAGATTGAAGTGAAGAAAACAGAAACGGAAACATAAAGGAATTGAGAATTGAACGAATCATGAAGGATGTAGAGAACAGTTGATGGAAGATATACAAATGAAGTATTTAATGTATGTTTTTTAGATTTTTCGAAAGAACTTTATAATATTGTGATAAACAATAAATTGTTATTTTCCACTTGAGTTCTCGTTCACTACAATATTATTACCATAAACAAATGTGTAGTCTTTCTTCCTCTCAGAAAAGTAAACAAAAAGAACAATACATAAAATACTTAGCGATTCTTTTAAATCTAACACTTGTTATTATTAACATAAAAGAATAATCCATCAAGCCGTAGATTACATTTTGATATAAAGATGAGTTTATCATTTACTTTATTAAAACACATCACATAAACAATATGTTTAGTTAATCAGTTAGTTTCTTTATAATTTAAAAGCGGACATTGAAATTTAGCTTTGAAATTAGTGGTATGATTAAAGTTTATGCATAAAACAGTATTAATTGTATACATAAGTGGATTTTAATGCAATGATATTTATTACCAAAACTATTAGTATAAGAATAGCAGTTCAAATTCGAATTTAGCTTTTTAATAAAACTTTTTGATAATAAATTTTGCCAAATACACATTATGTAGTGAATCATTTAGTTTATAATTATAAAAATAGTAATATTCTTTGAGAAGTTTTTATACTACATTAGAAAATAACTATTGTTAACTAATGTCGAAGATGAGTTTTTGAGATTCAGTAACTGGGTAGTATCATGCACTAAATGAGACCCAAATTCGTATTGGGCCATATATACACTGTTGGTATTCACTAGCTATTCATTTTTAAATAGACTGATCATTAAATATAGATTATAGTGATTACTTACTTGTTTGACACTATTGTATACACTATACATCACTTCGTTAGACTATATTGTCATGTTAATCCTTTGTTAATAAAATGAAAAATCAGGAACCTGAAATGTTTTGAAGTATAAGTCATTGTTATAAATGAACGGGCTCGATTTGGTACAAAGCCTTATAAAGGAAACGACCATCTACGTATGTTGAAATGACTAATATGTAATAATTCAATGAATTGGATTGTAAGTGAGATAAAATGGCGAATATTCTAATCAAAATAAGTACAAGCAATGTAAATTGAAATAAATAGTACTATAATTATTGATGATCCCAAATGTTAGATTGGAAACTATGCAATTCATGAATTCAGCATAAGAAAGTAGAAAGTTAATTGTTTGGTTATAGGTCCATTGAGTTACGTAAGTTGAAGTCAAATTGTTTACACTTTTAATTACATCTATCAGCAAAAATGAATTCATAGAATATCAGTTTATATTACTTTACTTCACAAGAGCAGTTGAATCAATAAATATAAAACTAGCAACTAAATTATGCAATTTAGTTTTAGTGTCTTTGTCACCACTACATTCACTCTGTTGAGTTAAAGGTGTACCATCATTAAATCTTGTGAGGGTAAATAGTAACATCTTGTCAATAGCTTCTTCATATATTTTTTCTAGTCTGGTGATGAGGTGTTTGATTAATAAATTTCGAACATAATACAAATTATTCAGTATCTTGCTAACTACTTCTATGGAGCAAAAAATCACCAATCTTCATTAGATCACTTTGCATTAGAGGGGTAAAAAAACTAAGAAAACGTCTGTGTACCCCCGGTCAAGTGCACTTCTTATTCATATTTATTCTTATGAACTCCCATATCTACAGAAAAGCCTTATAGTTAAACCACTTAGTTAAGAGCAAAAAACTTAATCTAATATCTAAACCTGAGGTACAAATCTTCCCCACCATTTTAATTAGAATGATTGACGAGAAATAGAGTGAAACAAATGGATTAAAAGCAATCAGCAGTGCCATCGCAAGACATTTTGACACAAAAAATGAAGTCAGTACACTGAAGTCCTTCAAGGTGATTAACAAACAACCAAACTCCAACTTTTTGAAATTTTCCGAAGCGAGATCAATCAAATATCTAAAACCAGATCTATATACCTAAAAAGAGGCAGCAATAAATCTTCTTTTGCCCTGGTAACATTAAACCCCTTTTTATTTATTACGTCATTTATTATTTCAACTGTTTCTGAATTCTAAATAACATCCTTGTCATTTTTCATCATTTCATAACTGACTGGTTTCAATTCATATCTTTCTTTATTACTATTAATCTATTGTCAGTTGCTTGATTACTTAATCATCTAATATTTGTTAACTTCATGAGTTCTAATCACTATTTCAATGTTCTAGAACTTTCCCTCCCAAACTTTATTTGCCCAAAACAAAATTTTTATGATCTTATTAAATCTATTGAAATCTTCGCTATATCATGATATATCTATGATCACCCTCGTATGTATAAGTATGTCAATATGTGCAATAACGTTGATTTTAAATATTATACGTTGTAAGCAATTGATGAGAATCTAACGAAATAAAATGGATTCATATTATTCTGCACCAAACTTTGTTCTTGCTCTGTTGAAGATAATAAACGGAACTATATGGATGAAATATTTAATTTCAATTTAACAATTTTAAAAAAAGATCACTGTTTTTGTTTAATGAAGATAATGTTACATGTTCAAGTATAACCTCAATAATTTTTCATGACTTTTAAATATGTTACTAACATATAAATTTATAAAGTATGGAAAAACATGATGATGAACAGTTTCAATATCTTTCCTAATTCATCATACTTTAAATTATTAACGCGTGTTTTTTTTGTTTAGAACACCACGCTACAGACTTTGATCATTATTAAAATAAATTGTTGACTGAATTTTAAATGAAATGAATTAACTATTAGATCAATTTTAGTAAGAGAATTTTGTTAGTTGACAATTGAATCACACTATTTTATCATTTAAATGAGTAAAGGTTATTTATTGATACCGTAGTTTCATTATAGAATATATATATATACGTTAGTGGCATTTTAACTCCACTCTTTTAAATACAATCAATTAATGTTGGTTACTATCTTATTCATATTTTGTATTTCCTACACTTCTGATGCATTTAAAATGACAAAAGTTGAAGTAAATTTTGGAATTTTCTTAGAATTAATAATAATAACAAAATTATGTATAATATTCATTCTTCTTTTTAATGATTGATTTATTAATTGTTAGTTTTGATCATTTGTGAGGTAAATTGATCATTTCTGAGTATATTCCAATCATAAATATAGTTCTGCGGAGTATGGGATTGGGAAACGTAAATATTTAAATTTTCTTTCGCGAATAATTTGTAACGTAAATTACTGTGAAATAGGTTAATATTTAATTTTAAGCTACAAGTAAAAACATTTCGCAAATGTCTTTCATGTCTTTCTGGGATCACTGCACAGTTGAAGTTAGACATTGACACCGTTGGATGCTGGCTCGGTGGTTCAGAGGTTAAGCGATCGCGCGCGAGACTGAAAGGTCCTGGGTTTGAATCTCACGAGGTGGGATCGCAGGTGTTTACTGCTGAGAAGTCCCATACTAGGACGAAACGACCGTCCAATTCTTTCAGGTTTTCCATGTTGATCTAGCTTTAATTGACTCATGAATTCAACTATTAAGAAAGATTAGTTCACAGTGTGATTTGTAATTACTGAATTGTGTATGGTTAATACTTATAGATGAATAAATGGTTCACAGAAATTCAGAAACGGGAAAGATATTAATTTAACTTTTCTAAATGCTCATAGATATCTATAATGAAAGAGTAATATATTAAGCTAAAAAAAGTAGTCTTTAGGTATAAAATATATTGGGAGTATTGAGAAATAGATTATTCTAAAGATTGTATTGGTACATGAACCATATAAATAAATCTCATACATACTATGGTCACTCCGCTAATGATATTTGTGATGTATTTTAACATTTTAATTTGAAAGTGTGTAGCCTATTTTATATTTAGGAGACAGTAAATGTTTCCTACGTTTTTGATCTTTGTTCAAGGAAAATAACTGTGGGATGCGAAACCTTACTTGGGGTAAGTATATATTTTATAATTTCGTGATCATAGTGATATGTTGGGGCACTTTATGTTTATTTATTATTGATATCATTATTACTTATAAATGACTTGTTATGTTTTGACTTAGCGCCTGAATAATATTGAAATTTAACATTATTAACCATTAAGAGTTTATCAGTTCTGTGTTGAACATTAATCTTTATATGGTTAGCTTTACCTCTTTTGAGGGAGATGAATTGGTATTGTGAAATGTCAGGGAAGATTTGTAACTTAAGAGAGTGATTTTAATAGAAAAATGTCACTAAAATTTCTTTCTTCTATCTATAAATTATAAACATGTAAAGTGATTGGTAATAAGCGTGTTCATTAGGACTTCGAAGCAAACACCAACTAATACTCAAACTCGTTTTTATTCTAAATGATTTTATCTTCAAACCATGTTAAAATAATGAGATAAACGATTTTTTTGATAAAATCATCATACTGGTCACTAATTTTACATTAGTTGATGGATTGCCATGGTTATACTTATGTTTACTTGATAAATTGTATTCAAATGGTCACCGAAAGGTTTTATTCAATTTATCTTTCATTTAATTCGTAAATAAATATGATTCCCTTAGACAGTGGTTTACTGGGTTAAAGTGTTGTGTTTGGCTTCCTTAGTTTTCACATTTTTTTATTACAAATAAATATGTATTTTGAATATGGTGTTTTCATTACATTCACGTGTACACATCGATTTTTAATATAGCATACTTAACAAAGGAAACATTTACAGCAGGTTATCTTATTTATAGCTGCACAATAATATAAATTATGTATTATTTATTGTTTATTGCATCATAAATTTACGGACAGAATGCTTGTTTAATGGTAGAAATATTGATGACGTTTCGTTAAATTGTGATCTGTTGCACTATAGCAGTGTGGTACAAAGACTGATTGTCTTGAAATGGATGTTTGACAAGGAACAAAAGACATAACTGATTGACCTCGTTTTCTGATAAACCATGGTAAGAGATGCATTGGATTCGACGGAGATGTGAACTGAATTAAAAGCTAATTTCTCAGGTTAACAAGCAGTACTATAAGGTGAGTCTCAATCGAAAGGGCTGGTAATGATTTCATATACATGACTAGCACACTTTGTGTTAAAGAGCGATTTTCTTATAAGCACCTAAATTTAATCATATTACCAAATTTTGTTACAATACAGAATGTGAATTTTGTCTATCAGGATGTAGTTTAGCACGCTATTTTGTGAATGATTTCTATTGGCGTGATATATACATGTTGGGTGCTGAAAAACTGTGTGCATTCATCTCTTCTGAAAAAATAAAAAAAATTGTAAGTTGTACTCACTATAAATATTTATGATGACTTTTATCATTATGAATGTAATAAGACGATAATTCATTTTAAGTGTACTTGATACTAGACATAATGGTCCGATCATTAATGGGCTCATAGTGAGCTAGGGAGTCCCAAACTAAGACTAAGTAGCTATTCGCTGAATACTACTTCACCATTTATATTTACTTATAAACACCCTAGACATATAAATGAGCTATTCAGTTTAAATTTTGATATTTAATATTTAAAACGTTTATAAAAATATGTTTAAACATAACTTGGGAAGGGTGACAAAGTTCAATAGTCCATCAGGACTTTCATGAATAATGCTTTTGTGAATGAGGATAAATTAAGTCATTTAGCATTTTGGCTAGAAGTCTAGCTTTTCTAAAATATCAAAATGTTTCTACAAATTAATTCATCCAGTTTGAAGTTGTTCAGTAAAATTTTTAATATTTTTTCCTTTTTTAAATACTTTCTGTTTAGTGTGACAAATACACCTCGAAGTACTTACCAGAGATTTTGGATGCAATAGGATCAGTATTCGTACCTGAAGAAATTTGTTTGGTAATGATATTTCTTGAGACTTTTATACGTTTATTATCTTAGCCCTAAAAACATTCAAACTGAATATTTATGCTAATAAATTGCCCAATAGTTCATATCACGCAACTATAAGGTATTATTCATAAACATAAAAAAAATCTATGTGTTACTTGTATGCTATCAGTTATATTTCCAAAGTATCACTCGTATAATGTGGAACATCCACACAAGTAATTCTCTATTAATACGTGGTTTATTGATTAAAGACAGTACACTGGTTTATGAGGCTGTAAAGTTTGATTAATTAGGATGAGTGTTGATTGTGCTACGGATGCCTAGACGCCTATCTACACTAGATATTGTGACAGTATACAGTAATAGTATAGATAGTAACAGTAATAAACACTAAATAACTTGATCTCAATCTATTCACGATCTAAAAGAAATAACGAACGTCTGTATGATAAATTTAGTCTTATTTTGAAGTTTCAGTTGGCTCATATTAAAAATCAAATTTTCATGTAACCTTATTCGAGTAGAAACATGTTTCGAAATGTAGAAAGCTATGACTTGTTAGCACTTTGAAAGAATATGTAGTTAATATTTTAGTTGGGATGTGACCTTGCTTTTTTCTTTCTTCTCTACTCTATGAACGATATTTGATTCAGTGTAAATATCGATTACACTGTCAACGCTGTATACTTGAGAGATAATAAATGGAGACATGTTGAAATCGTTTTGAATATATTCTACTCTATTTAAATGGGGATATCTTTATTGAATATGCTTTGTCCCCAAATCCAATCTTTATTTCGTGTATATAATTAGGGTAATTTTCGTTCAGTCAACTTCAAGTATTTCGTTGTACTAAATTATTCATAATGAAGTGTCATCATCAACCTCCAGTGTATTTCAGCTGTAATTAGTTATTTGATTCGTAGTCCATTTTATTGTTTGATTATTTAATTATGATTTTATATTTAGTGATAATTATTTAGTTGATAAAAATTTGTAATTAATAATCATTCAATTGGTATGCAACCGAATTAAATTGATCTCGTCCAGTAGATCTTCTTGACAAGATTGGTCTTTTGAAGAAGTAGTGATTGGAAAAGATAATGGAGCTGTTACCCATAGTACCATAATTATCGTTGAAATTGTAGCAGGATATCTTGCATTACACATTTATTCAATTTTGGTGGAGTTCTGTTTTCTGAGCTGGATAATTTGATCGTGTTGCTTTCGTCGTTATTCCGAACGACATCATCAGCACAAACGTCTGCTTGAAGTTTTTTCTATACTCCATCAAAATCATCCACCTGAGCTACAAATCTCCACCATATCACATTTAACCACAAAAAATCAATTAACATATTTGTTAATCTTTTGTTTCCAAAATTCATATCTAATTGCAACCAGTATAGACATGAGTTAAATATCACATAATTTTATAAGATAAAGTTTTGTTAAACAATCTACTGAGCTAATATTAACAATTATGTTTTACAAGTACCTGAATTCATTTAAGGTTCTCTGATATGATCATTCTCAATAATTTCTTAAATGACATAAGGTTGAATTTGTTGCGGTACAGCTAATGATTTGCTTTGTAAATAGGTAAAACAGATAAATGGTCATTAACAGAATGAAGATTTGGGAAGATTGTAGTAATTTTGATAGTTGAATACATGATTCATTGTAATCTAAACCATCATCGAAATCTTGAAAACACTGGATGGCCATTTTGTCCTAGTATTAAACTCATGAATTTAATTTTTAAAAAATAAGTGATTTTTAGTACTTGAATTTCGTTGAGAACGTGTATTATGAAAGTCGAACTCAGATGACTCATAATGAAGAAGTCCAGAATTGTACGTAAATGTACATATAATACAGTATGAAAATAAATATCAGTGAAACATTTAAATAATAAAATTAGTCAAATCATTATTACAAGTACACAAACTCGAGTTGATTTGTGATGTATGCTACTTATGTCTACAGATATAAATAGTATGTAACACCTATCGGAACTCGAATGCCTGTCAAAAGGAGGCTGGAAAGATTGAAGTGAAGAAAACAGAGACGGAAACACAAGGGAATTGAGAATTGAAAGAATCATGAAGGATGTAGAGAACAGTTGATGGAAGATATACAAATGAAATATTTAATGTATGGTTTTTAGATTTTTCGAAAGAACTTTATAATATTGTGATAAACAATAAATTGTTATTTTCCACTTGAGTTATCGTTCACTTTAGATACAACAGAACTAATGATTATAAAAATTCATCGATGAAAGTCTAGGTAAATTATCAGGTTATACCGTTATCTCGGTAACATCCAATAATTTATTTCCAAACCCTTTTATTGATAACTTATCATTTCACAAATCTGTTGATTGAATTTTAATTTAAAGAAATGAAGATTTTTAAAAAAATTGATCATGGCGCTATTATAGATTGATTAGTTGGAAAACAATATTATCTAATAAAATGAAAATGTTTTACCACAGATAATGAATAATTCATGTAATTTACAATTTACATTTGTAGGACTTCAATATATGCAATTTTACTGAGATTAAGATGTTTACTATCCAAAAAAGTAAGCGTTTATATTAATTTTTTTTTAAATAAATCGATAGTTTTTGCACAAGATATTAATGAACATTCGATATTCCATTATCGTATATATCGAGGATAGTTTTGGCCAAAGTAATTCAGTGTATGCGCCTGTGATTGTATTATTGAATAATTTCAAGATTTTCAGTATTAAAGGGCAATTCGATTTTACTGATGATTGTCAGTCAACAGGACTGTAACGTTTCATAATACATTTATAAAAGTAATTTGTTTGTAAACTGTAATAATTTCCGTGTATGCAACATAAAACATGAAATCCTACAGAACAGTTTCATACACATAGTTCCCTTTATCATTTTGAAAAGAGCAAGAACAAAGATTCTAGCAGAATAGCATGAATTCATTTTATTTCGTAGGTTCTCATCAGCTGCTTACAACCTGTGATATTTAAAAATCATAATTACATAATGGGTTTAAATTGCTTACTGAATATTGTAAATATGTACCTAATGTGAAAGAATATTCTACACCACTAATTGTGACAACAGTTCAAAAGGGGGTTAGAAACAATTGATTACATAATGAGTAAACATTGATAGGAATACAGTGAGTAGAGTTCAGTTGAAAGATTATTAATTTGAAAGATAGTTGAAAAAATAAAATCAACGATGTAATAAATACAAAAGAAAAAGAAAACAATTTAAGGTGCAGAGAAAAAATATTTGTCACCAAGGCAAGGAAAGATTAACAACCGTCTCCTTTTGAACACATAGGTCAGGTTTTTGACGCCTGATGGCAACGGCTTCAGCAAACTTCAGAAGACTGGAGTTTGGCTGCTTACTAATCACCCTAAAGGATTGTAAGGTATCTACTTGATGTCCTGTATCAAGGAGATGTTTGGTGGTTGCACTGTTCAGAGTCTTTCTTTCTCTTGTTCTAAGACTTTTTGGAACATGTTCAAAAAATCTAAGATATGCTCTCCTTTCAGTTCGGCCTATGTATCTGCTTTAGCAGGTACACGTAAATTTATAAATACAGTTGGCGGTAACATGAAAGGGGTGCTTGTCGACCTTTGATTGGGTTATTGAACATGTTGTTTTATAGAAAATTGAAAGTTTAGCAGCCGGATAAGTTCTGGCTAGCGCAGTGTTCAGTCTTCTGTTGATTATTTGTGCGACGTTATCACCTTTAAAGTTAAGATTTATATATACTGGCTTTTTATTGACCGTAGTTATTTCCGTCTTGTTTTCTTTGGGCTTTTCAGGAATCGAGAACCAATCAGCTATAATGTTAAAAATGTTGGTGCCTTTTCGTTTGTATTCATCAAAATGATGTGTTTGAGTTTATTAAATAACTAAACTTTATGATTAGTGAAGTTAGAAATCTATACTCATGGTGCTGAATATTTATTTTACTGAAAACATTTACGTTTTTTATTATCAACGTTAATGATTGTTTCATCGTGATCTAACTTAGTAAACTGAAAACTATTCACAAAAAACCAAGGGCTGGTTGTTACACAAAACAAATCAATTAGATATTAAAATGTCACTGAACAATTTATTTTTCACTATATAATTAAGTTGGTGTTTATATTTACTATGAGGTGAAATACGAATCCTTGTAAAGGATCTTTTTACAATTAATTAAGTGACTCAGTGATAAGCGTTGAAATGATGGAAAGTTTATTGAATTACGATACTTTGAAAAAAAAGGTTCAGCGAAACTGCCACCTCAAACAGTCTTCCAACCGATTATATTGGTCAGTTTCAATGATAAGACATCAAGTTTCTAGTTTAACGGAAGGATTTTAATGATTTATTGTGCTTTCTGAGATGGGTTGTCTATTCATCGATTTGGGTAATATAATCATCAGGAATTCCAATAGTTTATTTCATTTGTAGGGTTTGTTGATAGTACTGTCTAGAAAGATAATGAAAGTTTCACACTTAAGTAACCTATCACAGTGAGCACAAGACTTATAATGGACATCGACATATTTTGTATAGTACTATCGAAAATGATTGATATTTATATTCCAGAAACCAAAGAAATAATAAACTTTTCATTAATGATTAGTTTTTAAATAAGATAGAATATACTGAACAAAATGTCTCGTTTTACTGATTATCGTTAGCAGAATATTTCATTTCTACTAAACTCAGTGCAAATAACTAGTATTTCTGTTAAATGCAATCAACTCTGTTATTGATACTTTAATGGTATATCAAAGTTCAACGTTTTTCCTTGAAGGAAAAGCTAAAAGTATTTATATATACTGTTTTAGGTGAGGCCATAAGATCTCCGGCTCTAGATTATGTTTAAATTTCATTATCACTATCTCATCAGTTTCTGTTTTCTCAGAGAATACTCATATTTGGCTAAGGTAATCATCATGTCAACCTATTTAAAGAGTTTAGGATAATGTAATAGTTTTCACTATCCCAAAAGAACTAAGATTTTTTCGTTTCTAATGTTTTTTTTCTTTACAGATAACAAAATCTGAACATTTTTGCTCTACCTAATACTCTTTAAGTGTTATTAAATTTTAGAATGTACACAACATAAATTATGCTATGATATATTTGGTCTTTATGTTTTGAGTCATCATTTTAATACTAACTAGATGTATTAGTTACTATAATTATCGACGATTGTGACCTTTTGTTTGTTAACAAACTGCTTTGACTAGAATAAACTATCTTTCCTTGTGATTATCCAGTTTTTAGCTTCAAGCTGATAAATGAATGTTCGAAATTTCAAACACTAGAGTAATATAAAAATCTTTGATGATCAAATATGTCAGTATAGATAGAAAGTTTATCATTCAATATGAATTAATCTCCAACTAAGAAAATAACTTTTAAAAAAAATTCATTCCAAATTCAAATATATTCTTAGAATTAGATTTTCGACTTCATACATTTCGATCACAAGTGAAAAAACGTTAATAATTGACAATATGAACGTTAGATTATTGAGGAAGACATTGAACAAAAGCGAATTGCATATTAAACTCTAAATAACTTGAATAAATAGGGATCTTTTTAAGAGTCTAGTAATGGATTATTATGTTTATAAAGTCTTCAATCTAAGCTTGTAAACAACTATAAGTTAGTGTTGATAGAACGTTCACCAGTTTGTCTTCACTGTGTCAATTTAAGGCCATGGGTTTGAATGCGTTACTCAATCATTAAGATTCTAGTTAATTGTTAGTCCTCGTGAGGTTTACGACTAGGTCAATAAATCCGCCTATATATTATTGTGATTTGACTTACATGTAGGGATGTGATTTTCAAAAGAGACATGGTTCTTGTTTTACTCTAACACTTTAAACGTTGTGATGTGATTATCGGAAATACATTGTATATGAAAACAGTTTTTGGTTGAATAGTGCAACAAAAATTGGAATGCTGTGTTGGAAGCAAACTGTAATTTTGTTTGGTAAATACATAAGTCAAAGAATAATATATTCTGACTTTGGGAGCACTGGAAGTCTCTTGATAGAAAGAATAGGCTATTGAGCTGTATAAAGGAAAACTGTTTAATGTGACATTGGATTCTAACTATGAATATTTAAATAGAAGTATGAGTATTCATTACAGTTTTTAAAGTGTTAACATTAAGAGGCAACGCTTGTAAGTCACAAAGAGATAAAACACCAACTGGAATAGTTCCCTAGTCGTGAGCATTTAAAATCGTAATCTGTTTGCAAATAATTCTGAAATAAACAATAATTACTCAGGCTTTCATCGATGATGCTGACCAGGTATGTTAGAGATTCCACGTTTTCCAGAGCTTCTTCACGTGTTGTATTTGAGGGCCATACTTTCTCTTTCGTATACGTTGAGGCCTACTGATGAGAAGGATGCTGCTACACTAACTGTATTCACTTGCATTTGTTCGTGTGTATGGGATAGAAGGGCTAGGTCATCTGAGAAGTCCAAATCCTCTGATTGACTCCGAGCTGTCCATTTAGTTCCCTGTTTTCTCTCAGATATCGAGGTCTTCGTAGTCCGGTCGGCCACCAGAAGAAAAAGGAAGGGGGAGAGTAAGCAGTCTGGTCTCATACCGGTCCTCACCTTGAATGCACTTGTCAGCCGTCCTTTATGCAAGATTTTGCAGTGTAGCCCACCGTATGAATTCCGGATGATGTTGAAGATTTGCTCAAGTACACCATAGTGTCGTAGAAGTTTTCATAAAGTTCTCCAACCCACACTGTCAAACACCTTTTCATAGTCAGTGAAGTCGATGTATAGTGACGGTGATCCGTAGTGTCACGATTTGGTCTGTGCACGACTGATCATTACGGAATCCAGCCTGTTGATCTCGAAGTTGGGCATCTATTGAGTCTTATCTGGTTCAACAACGGTGTATTGAAAACGTTTCCTGGTACTGGTAGTAATGTGACGCTTCTGTAGTTCTCACGTTTGATGAGATCTCCTTTCTTTGTTATCGTGTTGATGTGTCTTTTTTTACAGTCTGTCTGTAGCACTTGTTCTTCCTCTCAAATCTTCCTGAATAGAACGTGAAGCATGTTTGCAGTCACTTCAGTGCTTCAACTGGTATATTGTCAGGTCCTGCTGCTTTTCCGCTCTTTATTTGTCTGATGGCCATTCTGATTTCTTCCGACGTTTGTGGAGTGTCATCTATAGGAAGGTCTGTGTGTGCTGATTTGATAGCCAGTAGATTCAATGGAGCTGGTCTATTCAAGATTTCCTCGAAGTATTCTACTCGTCTGTTCCTCTGTTCTTGAATCTCAATGATTGCTTTGCCTAGTATGTCCTTTGACCTGTTTACCTGTTTTACTATATTTCCCTGCTAGTTTCTTCGTTGTATCGTAAAGCTGTATCATATTTCCTTCTCTAGCGGCTTTTTCTGCCGTCGCTGCTAGTTCTTCCATGTATTTCTGCTTGCAAGCTATAATACTCCTCTTCATTTGCTTGTTTGCTTCAGTGTATTCAGCTCGTGCCTTGACTTTCTTTGTTCTTGTTCGACTGTTGTTCATCGCTGTTTTCTTGTTCATCCTTTCTTGACCGGAGTACAGCAGCGTCTCTCTCATACGCAAATTTTGTTGTCCAGCTTTGGTCTAATGGATTTCGCTAATTCCGGTAATCACCAGGTTGTATCTCCTAATTTCCGTTGGTATTTGGCTTGTCCTCTCGGTCTATCACATTATCCAAGCATTCCGTGTACCTATAAAATTGTTGCTCTGGTTGTCAGAAGGAACATCGGCTTCCTGACTTCAAAAGAATCTCGACTTTCATCCTGAAGCGTCATAATTCTTTCTTCAACTGGGAAAGCAGAGTTTAAATGGTTTAATTTGTTTAATCTGGTCGGCGTATTTTTAGCAAGATTTTATTCTACAGATGGGGTTGCCGACTCCGTGTTTAGCCGTCCTCCTTTGGCCAGGCTTGGGACCGGCAGTAACTCTAGAAGAGTTATAGGCGGAGTTGTGATCGTATAAGCCATCTATTTATTCATGAATCTTTTTATATTAATCTGAATCGAGAACAAATCGAGTAGTGTTCCGGATAACACATCTTCACTCTTTCGCTTGCTAGCCAGTCGGGTGATAGGATAGTTTTCATCTCTCCATCCAAAACCGTTAGTTTCTATTCAAACTCATACATTTCGTTGCCTCAAGATTGAACCAGTTGGCCTATCGTATCAAGGCCTTAACCTAGACCGAGACAGTGAGGATATGAAAAAGTTATTAATGTGTATATTTATTGTAAGGGCTAAATTAAGTGGTGAAATTAACCAGATAACAGTGTTGGTGGAAACTGACTGATCAGTTAATAAACCGAATCGAGAATATAAACTAAATGGATGATGTATTTTCTATGAAAAAATACACATTTACACATATAAATAAAATATTTTGCGGATATCTTGACAAAAATAAGTTCGTTTCTTTAGTAACAATTCTGATGTCCCATTCTTCAGCAGTATTTTTCCGAAGGTCTTTAATGAATGATATTCGTCTCACTTTGCTATTGTACATAGGGCTGAACATCATGACATGATGCAGAAAGAAAACAGTCAGAAAATACATGAAAACTTCCAATTCTATACTGTATAAAGATTAGTTTTAAACAGTTTTTTTCAAAGTTAGTTTTTTGTTTAACATGTAAATTTCGTATTTAGTTTACAACAATTCGGAGAACAAACACCTTTGGTTGAACTGTGATTAAAAAAGAATAAAAAATGTGTCATTTGTGTTTGACTGAGTTTTTAGAAGGAATGTGAATAAGGTTTCTAAGTTTGACTCATGAAAAAAGGATTCCAGTATCATAATGGTCAAATTTTAAGTACACACCGAAAATGTAATAAAATGTATTATATTATAACTGGAAAGACAGTTTTTTGGACATACCACAACATAACTTGAATATAATGTTACTTTATTAGCTTAAAATTCTGGAATACCTGACTGACATCAGCCAGATGTCCGATTTGAAAATTATATATATATATATATATATATATATATATATATATATCCTTTACGAAACCATCGGCCCGAACGCTTCATATTAGTCAAACTATAGATTGATTTGCTGACTTTCCAGTGGGTACTTAACCCTATTCAAAGAAATATAATGGATAAGGATCGCTGGATTCCACAAGGTAAAGAGAATTAGAATTACTAATTCCAACTTAGCGTTCCGAATGGTTATACTTTGTGCTGGATATGAAGGCTTAATGTTTGACGTTTTATAATGTGAAATGTATAAATCACTCAAGACTGGACTAGTAAGATAAAGTGGCGTTTGAAGAGCTGGGTTTCCGGTGGGTAGTTTGTAATAAAAGTCACTAACGGAATATACATCCTTTTATGTGAAACTACTTCGACTAAAAAAACTTTCTATTGATAATTAAAAGCTCATCAAACAACTCAATTGAAACATTTTCGTTAAATTAACAGCTAAAAGTATTTTTAAAGGTTATTATTTATATTTCCTCGGTTGGTAAACTGCCATAAAGGTGTTGAACTTGATATTCGTTCCAATAACTTAGTCTTAAAAATATCTGCACGACGTTATGCTCACTTGTTAAGGTATTTTTCACCATAAACTTGAACAGAAAACTCAGGAATTATAAACATGTTTTACATCTGAATCTCACATCAATTGAAATACACAGTAATTTTGGTCTTGAAAACTATCTTCAGTAAATGAATGTGTGAAACAGGTGTTTCTTATTAAAATATCAAGGACATGAATAGCGGTGATATAGTCAGATAACTTATAATGTTTAAGGAACAACAGTTACTCGAATGTTATTTAGAATATATATTATTAAGATGCATTGTTAGAATAGCCCACCAAAATTAAAGTATATTATATTATGTAGGATCACTGCCCAGTATATACTTTTTTCTCCCATGGAGAATGATGGCCAGAGGCTTATGCTCCTCTATGAGGGGTGACAGGCATAAGTATGTAAATAAGTACATAAGGCTAATATTGGTTAATTCTGGAATTACCTCGTGTCTTCTTAATCAGTTTCACTGTCCACCATTGTCTTCAGTGAGGTACTATCGCACAAGTGACCTGGTCGCACTCCACTAGTTACGGCTTCTTTCGTGGATTGGTTGAAGTTGGACATTAACACCGTTGGATACCGGCTCATTGGTCTGGAGGTTAAGCGTTCGCGCGCGAGACCGATGAGTCCAGGGTTCGAATCCATCACGAAGTCTCATACTAGGACGAATCGATTGTCCGGTGCTTCCAGGTTTTCCATGGTAGTCTAGCTTTAATTGACTCATGCATTCAACTATTAAATAAATTTTATTTGAATAACAGTGTTTTTTCTTCCTAGTATTATAAGAACAGATGGATAGTGGCTAGCAGTGGAATCCAGGACGCGCATCTCGTCCTACTTGGGACTCGTCAGCTGGATGTACCTACATCTCAGAATTGATGTTCACCCCGGCACTGTTCACTTCAAACGCCATTGCGTTCCCCACTTAGCTACTGAGTCCTGATAGCCATCAGCTTGTGCAATGGGGTGAAGTTTAAACTCACTTGGTGTTGTTTTACTTATATCTTCTCATTTTTATTTAGGACTGCGATTGATCAGTCTCATGTTGGCATATGTGCATCCTGTGCGGATTGCCTAGATATAGCCTTGAGTCACAAGCTACCTAATATTAATTATCAGTTATAAAAGTCATTGTTACATTTTCACCCTTCTATAATTATTTCTAATTAGATTGTAATATTCAACAACTGCGTTGTAATTATTTTCAGTTTTTTTAATGTTTTACATTTCTACTTCAAGAAAGTAGTGTCTTTTTTTTAGGTTATTCATAGTTTAGTTGTCATGACAACAATACCTCACTCACAGTTTCGACTAGTTGAACAACATAGAAAAGAGTCCAAGTATACCATTAGAATAAATGATACTGTCATAGTTAACTGACACTCTATTATAATATTTTATCATTTTTTGTTTTAAATATAAATTGTTTATGAGATGGTGAAGATTTGTAGCTCAGCACAAACTGTTTGTGCTGATGATGTCGTTCAGAAGAACGATGAAAGCCCCACAATCAAACCATCCAGCTCAGAGAACAAAACTCCGCCAATATCAATTGCTTAATTTTATAAAAACAGTTTCTTTTTATTTTTTAAAATTTTTATTCAGAAAAACAATAACAATATGAAAATGATTATTGTATGATACTTAAGTTTAGTTTATTTAAATATTTCAAATTAAAGATTGTGATTTATAAGGTAAACGTTTATAGACTCATATGCGGTAACACCATAAAAGTACATCAAAAGTAGAAAGAAAAAAAATAACACACAATTTTTTTTTATTAGGAAACTTAGTTACAAGAAGAAGAAAAACAAAATGATCAATTCTGTAATTTTCAATAATCTGAAATTGAAATACAATAGGATATTAAAAAAGTTTATTATCGTCTGTTTACTTAAATGAAATTCATATTGTTCTATATGATAGTTGGATATTAAATAAATAATATTTGTTTACGTAATTGATCAGTTATTAGAAAAGTTAGAACGAATGAGATATGGTGTAAGTTTTCTTATTCGTATTAGCATAATGACAGGAGATAAATTTTATAATGATAACCAAATCGACTCATATTCAAGCTATGATAGTTATAATCCTAAACTAAGACAAGATTTTAGTTTTATTGAAAGCTTACACTCATCAAAAAAATAAGAAGGTTAATCATATTACTTCTCTGTAATAATTACGTGTATGTGTAATAAAGAGAGGAAGGATGGAATCTTTATTGACTTAATGGTTGAATGTAAGTAATGGCAATATATCATAATGAGAATTGGAAGATAATACGACGAGATTATAATTTATGAACGAACTAATCAAATGTAAGATATCAGGTCTCGGATTTTGGTACGAAATTCACTCATCCATTTGTCTAAATAGAGTCTTGGCATTGTAGCTGATGTCAGTTCGTGATGAAAACTCTAAATCTAATTTCTAACCGTAACCATAATTCGAATTCCTGACACAGGTTTATAATACACACTTGGTTTTAGTTATTAAATGGACACTCAAAAGGTCGGTCTAACGTCACTCAAAGATCATCCATAAATTATAGTCTCACCAATAATATGTTTTATTATTCTAGGCAACTAAAATTATTTTAAAACAAATAACTATTTCGACTTTAATTGCTAAAATTGCAGATTCATTTAATGTATTTTCATCTTGTAGAACATTTGTCTTTGAAGAACCAAAATACGATCGTTTAAAAACATTAACTTATAGACATTAAATGTTCTGCGTATAGCACTGATATACCAAACAATATGTGTGAAACTTCATTCCATTCTAAGATAAAATTGTACTGTACTTAAAGGGACCTACTTGTTTATTTCATTATTTTGAAATTATTTTGATATTATTATGCTTTATTACGTTATTTTTTTAAGAGGAAAAAACAAACTTACATGTAACATCCATTTAATGGAAGATGAGTTTGTAAAGTTTTAGGAAAGAGCAAAGTACCTGAAATAAAATTTTATTGATTTAACACATAAATTTCCCTGACTGAAATAAAAGATAAAATTTAACTAATAACAAATCAACAAATCAGAATATGATCCCTGGAGAAGTAATGTGTATACACTACTGACGATTCTTATGCTGTAGTGAATGAGAACACAAGTAGAGACAATCCAATGTACTTGAACATAAAATTACAGAATCTCTTAGTAAAATCTGAGCACTTTGCAGTAAATACTTCATTTGTAAAATATCAGTCAATTGTTTCAGACTTCATTGTTCCTTCGTTTCCACACTAAACATTCTCTGTTCTCATTCTCTTTTCTTCGATCTTTTTAACTTTCTGCCACCACGTATTCCACTTCCGATTGATGATACTTACTACTTATATCTATTGACATCAGTAGCACACACCACAACCAGGTCTGTTGTGAGACAGTAACTCACTGAAGACAATGGTGTACGGTGGCGCAACTTCGTGGATTGGTTGAAGTTAGACATTAACACCATTGCATGCCGGCTCAGTGGTCTAATGGTTGGGTGCTCGGGCGCGAAGCGAGTAGGTCCCGAGTTCGAGTCCCACGGGATGCGGGATCGTGGATGCGCACTGCTGAGGAGTCCCATACTAGGACGAAACGGCCGTCCAGTGCTTCCAGGTTTTCCATGATGGTCTAGCTTCAATCGACTCCTGATTTCATTCTGTGAAATTTCTAAAATCTCCACAAATCCGTTCTGATAATTATATGTATCTGTTTGAAATAAACAGGCTTTATTTATGGGCTTGATAGTTACGTGTATTTATTCGTATACTGTTACCCAATGAATCCCTAATATATTACTGGTAGGATAAGTGAAATTTTCTATGAAACATCTGCTGAAGTTTACTATTCTTTTTCAAATGTTTTATGTTCTATTCAATGTTAATTAAATTACTAGAAGTCAATATAAATTAACCAACTCTTATGGAAACCATATTGATAACTGAAATGATAAACTTTTTACAATATAGTCTGCTTTTAATTGTATGAGAGTTTATACTATTTGCTAATCATTGTTTCTACTCGCTTTTTTTTGAGGATGATAGTTGTGTATGAAGGTTTTCTAGCACATGGAAAAACGTTTTTCTGAAATAACTGACGAATTCTAGTGCATGTATGTACATAACACTACACCGGTTACATTTTGGGTTTGAGATGGGTTTACTTATGGAATTCATCCAAATCATCATTAAATTACGTTCAATTTATTTCATATGAAAAATTTCTAACTATGCAATTAAGTGGAACATTTCAGTTTTACTCAACGTTCAGTAAAATATATGAGGGTTTGAGTCTTACAATTGTTGATATTAAGAACTTATATATATCATTTTTTCTGAAATATGTGCATTTTAAGTATACCATCATGATATTACCCATAATTACACAGTTTTAATATAGTTGGTTTTGGGTTAGCAGTAGAATGTGTGTTTCGTCTTATTCGTGATTCGAACCCAATAACTGTTAATTCAAATACCGATGAGCTATCCACCAAACTACATAATTCAGTTAGCCACTAACATGTTTGACCATTATGAATTTATGTGTAAGAATTCAGATTTTCGTGCTGTTGATATTAAGAACTGTGACCGATCAGCCTTTTGATGAAAAATATGAAAGTCAGATTTATTATTAAATGAAAAATTTATCAATATAAATAAGTATTTCATTAAACCATGAATACCACATTATCATTATCTTATATTTGCCCTTGATTCATAAGAATTGTTATTAATTATATTGAGAAGTGCAATTTCCCTAAGATACTCATTTACGTATACGTTACAATGAATCTTTGAAATCTTATTATTAAGTCAAATTTACGTACTTATATTTCATTGAATAAACTACTTTTAACTGTATACAAGAAATGTACACTGAACTCTCCTTCTGTAGTTGTACCTCTATTATGTCTATACACAAATAAAAATTAAATCTAACATTATTCTCATGAGAAACATCAGATATAGTTTGTCAGTAAACTCGATGATGATATTGGTTTAAAATAGGATTACTTACATAACATGATTGATCTGCTCTATGATGTTGAAAATACGCAATCGCATAATCTATGTATTCTTGAAGAACTTTATTACACTAAAATTACATTTAATATTTAAAAAAATGTTTAAAAATGATTAGGTTACATTTAACTTTGAAAAAATATATATATTAAAGATTCCTATACTAAAAATTGGGACAACACGTATATAGGTGAACCATATTGTTTTCAGTTGGATCATTATGAGGCGTTACTCCAGAATAAATGAATTTTTATATGAAAATCTTAAAATATTTGAATTCATGAGTCAATGTAAGTTAAACCAACACTGAAAACATGGAAGTACTGAACGGCCGTTTTGTCTAAGTATGGGACTCCTCATAAATTTAACTATTAAAATTACTACAATCTCCATAAACTCTCATTCTGTTAATAATTTTAAAATAATCTAGGGAATTTATGAGTAAATGATCATAATGGAATAGATTGTATAACTTCATATAATGTGTAAAAATAAAACTTGATAATAAGTAGACAGGTATACTAGCTGTGATCAGAATAATGAAATAGTTGTAATCGGTAGTTCAACATAAGAAGTAGGGCAAATATGGATAAACAGACTTTAGATACATCATTAAAATTACGTAATAAGTGTGTAAATGATTAGAGATTGGAGAAATAATATTGACAGATAATTCCCATTTAAACATTAAAATTAAAACACGAATTTCAGCGAAGGGATCTCTTTTCAACGAATTTATTATCAGGCTGTACAATGGTATATATATGAAAATTTTCGTAAAAGTACTAATTCCGTGAGGAAATGTGGACACAGTTAATAAAAAGGTTATAATACTAGATTACATAATATGAATAATAACAATAACAATAGATTTGGTGAATATAATAAGATGATTAAAATGATTAAAATGTTTTTGATATAATAATTAAAGGTCATAGATATGTTGATTTCTTTTTCCCATTAACACACCGTGTGTTACAAAAAAACCTATGCACACACTTTGGTGATAATTTGTTTATTAATTTGGTATTAAAGATTTGACTACCGACCTCATTCAGTAATCACTATGATCAAATAGTCAAACCGGTTTTCAGTTACTTTTTCCCAAAAACTTTCTTTTACTGAGATACGTATAATTATTTGTGTTCAGATAACTAACGACTTCAATTCAAGGTATACTTGATCGGAAAACAAAAATTGATCCCAATACACATTCACTAACAGTAGGATTGCACGGTAATGCAATTAAGTTGGTGTCTTTTTCTTCAAAAGTCTAAATTTTTTTCAAGACTAAGATTACACAAAAAAATTATTCATTATCATTAAATTTCAAATGTAAAAAATGAAAATTCTGACATCCAATCACAGCACTTGATGCTATTTCGATTTCAACTAATCAGATTACAAAGATGAACAGTTTACGACCAATCACAAAATTATTAAAGGTAACAAAATGTTTGTTCATTATCACTTGAGCACACACTTGCAAAACAAGTCCACCAATCAACGATACCTAAATTTTTCATTCACACCCCACAATTTTTTTAAAAGGGGTGCTAGGGAATCATATAGGCCGGTCACTTAATGTCAACCTAGAACTCCTAACTGCTTTCCTTTCCCCCTTATAGAACCGAGCAGGAATATGTTCCCGTATCCGGGTTGAAAGCGAGCGCTGGCTACGGCCAATGTACAAACAAACGCAGGATGTAAAAACTTGATATAATCGTTCATTACGTCATATCTAGCCAGGTACAGGGGTGCTACGAATTTTTTTGAACACATAAACTAGATAGTGTGAAAGATTTGTAGCTCAGGTGGATGACTTTGGTGAAATTTCCTTCTCTAAGCTAGATAATTTGTTCACGGAGTCTTCTTTGTTCTTCCGAACTACATCATCAACACAGACTTCAGATAGAAGGGAAGTGTTCAGATTTCTTCACATATGACACACAGCTTGTCCTGTTGACCCCCATCTAGGTTGATTATTGTTGACTTTTAACCTGTCCCTGTCTACTTCATTTTTGACTATATCTCCCTTCGATTTGATTCTTGGTCTTATATTTGCTCATGATTTTTCTGATTGATTGATAGATGGGATCGATTATGATGTGCCAAGCTTGTAAAATTTTCTGATGTTCTTAGTATTCGCTCTATCCAAGATCTAAACATTTTTCCAGTCATATTTGTGCCCACAGTTGTCCACATGCATTGATATAAGTGAAAATATGTCATAGCGTTTGACCATTAATTGATAATCGTGATTGCGGAAAACACTACTTTGGACTACACTTCATCTTCGTCTGTATATATATTAGTGTAAAGCCATGAAAAAAGCTAACTAGAAGGAAATAATTGTTTTATCCATTTTTATACGGAATGTCTGAATGGGAACTTTTATAAATCAGTTAGTTAAAATATAAACTTACTTTTGATTCGTCTGAAGCATAAAGTAAACATATCACTTTTAGTGAAGATTTCATTTGTTTAGTTTCTGTGTGATCAGTAAAAATACTTTGTATTCTACTATAAACAAATTTACATTCTTCACACAATATATTATCTCCTGAAAATAAAATACAAACTATTTATTTTCGATATTTTGGGGCACATTAAATAGTATTTAAACGAAAAAACATGTAATGTAATATAAAATATGAAACTAGCCAAATCAACTTCAAAGTGTATAGTAAAATGCATTATACCATTCATTTCCATATGAACAATATAGTGTTGACAGGAATAATAAAAGGATAAACTGATATTTGAAAGATAAATTAGGGATTCACAAACATAACGGATAAACATTATTCTTACGTCCATTTCCTTATTTCTCTTCAACTTAGATTTTCAAATATTTATTTAGTGATGTAGTAGTAAGATTAAGGTAATTGAATAATCTTTATTAACTAGACAGTAAATTTTTAATGTTATTTGGTATAAAACTTGAAAAACTGAAGTTTATTGCTGTCACTGGAGATTCATTTTATTTACTTTTACATAATTCAGATTCTTGTTTTTGATGATTTTTGATATAAAAAATATTTTAATGATTTCTTATAGTATCCTCGTGTAGATTTATTGAATTCTCAGTGACTTAATATTTGAGATATTTAAGATGTCATCATACTGATAGATTAATGAAATAGATTTTTTAAAATTATTCTGTTCATAGAAACAAAAATATTTGATCATTTGTATTGCAACAGTTGAGATCATGAGTCAATTGAAGCTAGACCACCATGGAAAACCTGGAAGCACTGGACGACCGTTTTAGTCTTGTTGTGGGACTCCTCAGCAGTGCGCATCCACGACCTCGTCTCGCGGGATTCGGACCCAGGATATATCAGTCTTGCGTCAGGCATTTAACCAACCAGACCACCGAGGAGGCATCCAACGGTGTTAATGTCTAACTTCAACCAATTAACAAAATCGAGCGACACATCCACCATTGTCATCAGTGAATTACTACCTCACAACTGACCCGGTTGAACTCCACTGGTCACTGCTTCTCACTAGAATTCCAAGATATATCACTTGAAGCCAGTTACTATTGTATTCCATTTATTCATTTAAATTGTTAAGATAATTTACTACTTTGACTACCTATTTGATTTGCATTAATTAAACAGCATTTATTAAGGGTCCATAAATGAAAACAAATTTTCATTTTTTAAAAATAAATACTATTCTATAAGTAATAAATAAATAATATATTTGTAATATCCCAATGAGTAGAAAAATTGGATTTTCTGACGTTTCGTGACTTAGTGTATGCCACTTCTTCAGAGATTAAATAACCAAATTAGAATTGATTTAAGTTTCTATTGAGAGAAGAAGGCCTTACCGTACATCCTACTTGGACTACCTATCCTAGCCACCTAGTCTGATACTATTTACAATTCGCACCATTAACTTACAAATTAAACACTATCCTTTCTCACCATAAAGGTCATACGATTTTCATCCTTAACAGTGTACACATACATACACACAAATTTACATACACGTCGTTCATGAATCAATTTGGCCGAAATGACAGGACACTGATTTATTCAGACCCGTTTTTTGATTGATCACATAGTATTTTTGTTGTTCCGTTATACTATTTAAACTTGGATTAATTTTATTTGGTTATTTAATCTCTGAAGAAGTCACGAAACATCAGAAAATCCGTTTTTTCTACTCATTGGGATATTACAAATATATTATATATTTATAACAATCTACCCACTGCTCAATTTATTCGAAATTGTCAAATCAAACCTTGGTAATGATACCTACATATTCTGTAAGTGGGAAAGATTATCCATTATTTAGGATCAAACTTCAGTATTTACGAAATATGTAAAGATACTATGATTTTGTACTAATTAGATAACCCAATATGATAAATGGAGATTAAAATAAAACTTGAAATTATATCAGCCATACAATTTTTTGAATGGAGAGTGCTGGTAGGCAGCCTATACTTATCCACGAGGGGTAACAAACGTAAGTAATACAATTGTTTTTATCAACAAAATCACGTAATTAATTATGTAAATTATTTGTTATTAGCTATTCATTTATCTAAATGGATTTATATTTCAAAATGAATCATGTATTCGTTTGTTAATTCTCGAAATCTTATTCATGTAATTAAATGACTTTAACGAACCTTCATAACGGCAATTAAAAAAAGAACTACGTTAGATGTTTAAATAAAATTATTTCTATGTTCATTATCATCGTGAACATAACATGATATTGTTAAGTTCGTTGGTTTTAGTATTTAAAGTGACCGATTCTTCATCCATCGAGCATATGTCAACAGTTTTTTAATCAAACTATAATTATATTAAACTGTCTAAGAAGTCAGTAAGTTAGGAAAAAAAATCAGTATCAATTTTGCTACTATATATGTATTAGCTGCATAATAGTAATTTAAAAAATCACTACTCTCTATTGTAACAACCATGAAATATTAGTATTTGATAAAACTATCTGGCCTGCTTCGGTTTGGGCATCCGGGCAGTATCACAGCCCTTACACATATCAAATGAGATCTGTGTGGCGCATATGTACTTGGTACCTCCTTGTACCAATATCTATGTGTTAAAATACATAAATAAATAAACTATCAGGGCATTACACTACTATCAATATTCTAACGTACAAAGTGAACAAATGAGGAATTTAATTTATCTTCCTACCTGAATTGTATTACATGTGGGACCCGTAATTTTGTCGTCATTTAGATCGGACGATGTTTGTTGACGCGCTCTCTACTTTAGTGGCCCATGGATCTGACTCCAATTAGATCGTATGAATATTTGTTATCGCTTATTTTCGTATATAATCATCGACTTTAACCTCGTTAGTCAATGACGGATTTAGATAAGTCAAGTAACGAGAATGGACTTTTGAATACATATATTTTGTATATGAAGCGAATGGAATATAGAGAAGAGAAACGACGCAGAATAGAGATGGCGGGTAAGCCAACTCCCATCTAACCAAGCGTTAATCAATATTTATAGTTACACAAAAGTAAGGTACATACATTTGATGGGTAATGCGATTAGAAATATACACACACCTACGCTCTCTTATAAAAACAGTCAAGATTGATAAGCGAATAAATAACAAGGTCAGAATGTGACTCAAGTAGAATGAATGAAATGGTCTGTCTGAAACCTAGAATAAGGTGTATGGGCTTAGCATAATAACCGACACTACATACATAGTGAATAATGATAATCAGACATGCTGAACATTCATTAAAATTAATATATTAATCTTAATTACTCTATAGTAACGATTTTTGTAAATGTGTCTTCTGTGATATGTCAATAATGGAGAATATTCTCATCATGTTAAACATTAGGTTAAAATATAAACAAGGACCTGTGAAAATTATAATTTTAAGTATTTTAATCATTCAATTAAAATTGTTCACAAGTTTCCATCTTAACTCCAGTTCAAATGTATTCCAAAAAAATAGTAAAAACGATTGAAATGACTAGTGATTTCACTAAGAATATTTCTCAGTAGACTATCAGATAAGTCGGCGAGACTATAATTTATGGACGAAGCAATCAGGTTTACGACAACAGGTCTTAGATTTTGGCGCGAAATTTTCCATCTATTTGGTTAAATAGCACGTCTTGGCATTTTCGCTGGTGTCAATTCGTGATAAAAACCTTAAATTTAATCCCTATCCCTAACCATCAACTGTAAATCACAATCCTTATCATTTATACAGGTTTAAGACTCTCATTTAGCCCTAGTCAATAGATGGACCACTTTAAGGTCATTTTAGTGTCGCTCAAAGGTTGTCCATAAATTATGGTCTCAACGGTAAATCATTTGAATTATATTTTTCTAGGTAACTGTAGAACTATTTAAATTCAAAATAATGAATTTAGATTTTGATAACATTAAGAAATAATTAGATGAATGAATATGTCGGCGTATTAAAAGACTTCATCTTATATAATTCTACTTACCGATGTTTCGATTAGTTAAAGAATTCGTATTATTTGTACAAGCTTGTAATGCCTGTCAAAAAGAAAAAAATTTTCGGTGGTACATATGTTTAAGATTTAAGTGTCAAATATATAAACATTCATGGAGACACTTAAAACATACCGAATAAACATAGAATTCGAATATGTAAAAATAGCACATATAATATTAAGCTCATTACTTAGTAGTTTAGTGAATAAGACGACAATATTTGAATACATTGAATCTAGTCTACTTGAGAGCACCAACATATGAATACTAACACATCAAGTCATTAACGATCAACTAGATTAAAACGAACAATTGAAGTTAAAATATCATCAATCTGTAAATAGGGTCAACATTAAAGTCCATATGGCTGCACAGAATGATTAATTTAAGTTTTAATGTTTATAACTGGAAAATAATACCATATGTTAAAGATAATTATAAATTATGAATTCATTCAGTTTTATGGAGTTTTGTTCTTTCAGCTGATGGGTTTGCTTTAGCTCAGAGAACAAAACTCCATCAAAATCAGCCATCTGAGCTACAAATCGTCTCCACCATTCAGTTTTATAAAAAAAACGTCTCATCTGTTGAATACGTTTTAACGACGGATAATGTGACCAATTACAGAAAAATGATTACCATTATTTCTCAATTTATTTTTGAACGAACATGAATTTTCTGACCATACTAAAATCATACGATTCACTGGCTAAAAATTATTTCCATCGTATTTAAATTTCAAATGAGTTTTAGTTAGATCAGTATTGTACCCTGGAAGAACTATACACTTGTCTTGTCTTAACTTGGGACTCCTCAGTAAAGTGCATTCAAACTATGTTGATAACATTCATTTACTCATTAATGATGGGCCTCACGATATAATTCCTGGAGTTCTAGTCAGCATCGGTGACCAGTGGAGTTCAGCGGTATCTGGTGTAAGACATTCATCAACCTCAGACAATTGGTGGGGTTTATGAAGTATAGTGAGTGGATTGAAGTTAATGTCAGTCCAGCTTTCTAGAGACTGATCGTTCGCGGCAAGTCCGAAGATTCAGAGTTGGATTCCCAGGTGCGAGATCATTTGATGTGCACTTCTGGGTAGTTTCTTATTAGAATGAATTGCCTGTCGAGTGCTTTCAGGTTTTTAAGTGTTGTCTAACTAAGACCTGTTTGCGATACAAATACATTGAAAATTCTATTATTTACACAAACCACCATAGTGATGAAAATTACTTGTCTTCTGGTTTCATTATTAATGTTCATAGTTGTGAAAACGAGAATAATACACGATACAGTTATACAGAATCGTTTTACCACACAAAATTCTAAACCATGAACTACTGGAAAATTTTTGATGCAAATGGAGAGACTAACGATATATATTTAAAAAGGCTAAAATATATGCAAGATATTAAAAAATAATTACCTTGCAAATGTAATCAGGATTCACTGCTGTAGCCAGTATGTTCAAAGTATTATTAAGGTAATTATTCACATATTTCAGGCACTTGGATGAATTTAAAAAATAAAAAATAAATGAGTGATATATTCTTTCAGACTGAAACAACTTGAATATAGTGATTCTAGAAGCTGACTGTTTTTACTGAACTTTCACTGTTGTGGTTATTGTTAATTAGCAAATTACAATGCTTACTAAGATACTTTCGATACGTAAGAAATTAGTCCGTCGAATATACATTATAGAAATTAAGTTTCAAAAAAGTATGTTTTTGCTAAACAGTTTATTCTACTAAAAATTATAAAATTAGAACTGATCAGATGAATGAAATTAGTTTATACCATTTGAAAATTACCAATCAACTTAATTCATTTTGTATCGATTGTTTAAATGTTCCCGCTGATGTTTAGTTATGCAATTAATTAGTCGCTTATTGGCCTATATAGATCCTCTACGACAGCCCCGAGATTGATTTTAGTCACAAGCATTATAAACAGAGATGAATGATGGCTAGCAATGAAATCCAGGACGTGCGGTTCGTCCTATTCAGACTCGTCAGATAAATATATTTACATCTCAGATTCGATGTTCACCCTGGGACTTGAAACCAGTATCGTTCGCTTCAAACTGCATCACCTTACTCACTTACATACTGAGTTTCAAACAACCAATATGAAATGATTTCAAACTTCACCCCATTGCACAACATAGTGGTTATTTGGACCCAGTAGCTAAGTGAACAATGTGATGGAGTTTGAAGTGAACGATACTGGGTTCGAGTCCCAGAGTGAATATCAACTCTGGGATGCAGGTACATCCAGCTGACGAGTCCCAAATAGGACGAAACACACGTCTTGGATTCCACTGCTAGCCACTATCCATCACTGCTTATAATCAACTTTAACATTTTAATGGAAGTTTTATGAGTATTCATTATCATTCGACCCATCTGACTACTAATCTTAATTACTGTTTATTTATTACAAATTATGTAATTCATATAAGATTTAGATTTCCATCAGTCATTAAATATATATATATATATAATAAAATAGAAGGACTCTCAAACGCTGTGCGCTTAATCAAATCGATTCTCTAAATGCATATATTACCAAGATGTTAAAAAATGTCAACGAGAGAATTTACGTGGTAGGAGAGCTCTCTGATAAATTAAGAGAACAATATCTGGACTATGTTAGGATGGCTGTTAATATATATTAGTTTAAAACCATGATGAAAAACTAATTGCGAAGGAAATTTCTTCGCTCGATTCGTTCCCTCTTTATTTACCAAATGTCAAAAGGGGAATGTACATTTGCTTATAATCATTATATTATTTTAAGGATAAAATTTTTATAAAACATCAATAGGAATGATACATAACAAATAATTTATCTTTCAGATAAATACTCTTTGTCTTATAATAAAAAAGGGATAATTGTTTCATGTTCAAATTTTTTGTTACTTACAGTGTTTCTTAGACTTTCTGATGGAATAGACTGACATAATTGTTGTGCTGCAATCATATAAATCTCTACCCAATAATTTTCTGAAAGAATGTAGTGAACCAAATTCATCCCTGCTAAGCATGTATCACATTCAGCTAAAAAATATAGTAATATCATTCAAATAGACGAGATTGTTTGGTCACTAAGATGATAACTTCAAAAATGATCTAATATTTATACTTTTAGTATTTATCAAAAGAGTTGATCGTGAATTTAATACAGATGTTCAGCACTTACTTTTTATCTATATTTTGTATACATATGACTGAGTATCAAAATTAAAAATGTATCCACAACTTGTTTGATGGGAAAATAGCTTACGTTTAAGTTTTGTGTAATATTAATCCTTAAATATAACACGATAAACTAGAATGTATTCTTGACCAATTTTGACTATAGAAGTAATCTGATTCCGGTTAAAATATTGGCAAAACAATTAACATTGTCATTTTATTAATTCTGATGCATGGGGGCAGTTACATTCAAATAATTTCTAGGTTCTTTCGTAACTTATTCATTCTTCCTAGATCATGCATCTAAAGATCCAATACTTCATATTAATACGCTGAGAGATGTATACTAGAAACGAATTCAAGGAACCTTTTGATAAGACGAAAATTCCCCCATCAGTTTCTATCAATTTATTTTTATAAAGACTAGTTCCCAGTATCTATTTAGATTTCATTTGTTTGCTTATGTTACATTATTCAAATTAGTACCTGAATATAGTTTAACCAATATGCTTATTGAGCATTTATGGGACACTGAATAAAGTAGTTTACATCATATCTTTTAAATTGGTTACTAAACCCGGAAGTAATTTATGGGTCCGATGTTTTTTTGAAAACATTATGGTAATATATTTATGCTAAAAGAAGTCAATGAAGTGTTATATGTGTGGTAAAAAGAAATTATTGTTCATGGTTTATAGCTAAGTAGAAATGACTAAATTAGTGTATAATTGTTAATTGAGGGTTGAGCGCGGATTTTTCGTTTGTCAGTCTTAGTTAAACTGTACAGTTGAATGATAAAAAACATAGTTATGAATTTAAAATAATAAAATACTTTTGAATTTAGGGAGATACTGAAAATTGTATCTATGTTGTAGGAGGTTTGAAGTATAGGTGAATATTTCCATCGTTGCTTATTAATGCTGTTTACTTAAGCAAGGCGCTGACGACATTATTCAGATTGATAGTAAAAAAAATTGAAATTAAACCATCCATTATGTCCGTATAGCGCTTTGAAAATCATATTTTGGGATAGAATGATGGTTGCAGATAGTCAACAGGAAACCCTGGACCCAGGTTTCGTGCTATTTGGCACTCGTCAGCAAGGTGTACCTGTAATGTTTAGGGAACTGGCGCTCCCTGACGATTCAGATCCCGTGTCATCCAGCCTTACAGTCAGAAGTGTTACCACTGAGCTATACGGGTCGCGACTGATCTCTTGTAGAACTGAGTTTAATTCACAAATGGTTGATCACTGAGTGTTGATCAGTGTCATGTGTGTCAAGTTCTTCTTAGTGCAGATCGAATGCTATGGACCAAGTTGCAATATGGCCATTATTCTAGGTGACTCGACGTTGCGTGCACTTGGTCGACAGCATTCAATCTGCACTAAGAAGGACTTGACACACATGACATTGATCACCACCCAGTGATCAAACAATTGTGAAAATCATATTTCCTATTTTCTTATTGTTAAGGTTCATTAATATGACAAATTACTTCTATTTCAAATGTACTTTACATATAGTTTTTCCGTAATTGTCATAATAAAAAAAATCAACAATGAGAATGGTATTTTAAAATTAAAATTGTCAATACAAATTGGATTGAATATTTGTACAACTGATTTTCTCTCCGGTTTCTTATATTGTTATTACATTTATTGCTCATACATTTTCTTAAAATATCCTGGGAAATGATGTTGTATATACAAAAGTGGGGAGAATTCGTATATAAAAAATATATTGACATAACACATAGCAATCAGATTTGAATTGTGCTTTAGAATGCGATCACCATTTGTTTTCTTAGTCGTAATGCAATAATTGTTTCAGAAGCTTCAATCTTGAATGGTTATCTTCAATTAATCATTCATAGGTCAATTATGCAAACTATTATTTTCACAGTTTTGATACATTTTTTTAAGTTTTATACTTTACAGAACCTATGATAGATATGATATTCATTTAGTGTGCTACTCTTAAAATTGTCAATTAACTACTTGTATTTTAAGTAATTACTAATGGAATGTTAATGACATATTGGAAGTGATGGAATGTAAAAATGAGCTCATTAGATTTAAAAACGTTGAGATTGTCAATCAAAGTTAAAGTCTTTTACTTTCGCCTATTAAAAATTATCTGGTTTATAACTCTCAAATGGTTGATTTTCGGACAGTAACTTCGATATAAGGCAAATGTTATATGTATATATATAATTTAATCACCAGAAACAGGACATACCTAATGTTGAATTGTCATCATTATTTCTCTTGGCAACTAAATTCTGTGTAAAGAAATAACACAATGAGACATAAATCTTCAACATTTCAACAAATAGTTGTTTTGTTTATTTGAATATTTGGTAAGTTCTACAATAAAATTACGTGTGTAATGGTTTTTTCCAACAGATACTTGAAGGCATAGTTTATATGAGATATATCATTGAAAATAAATTGTATACTGCATTATCTTACGTTAAAAGATGCATTACTGATGTAAAGAGTAATGTTGGTGGCGTGAAATCTCCTTTAAAATATCATCTTTTCCTACTAAGTGTTAAGCTTAATAATTGATGTTAATCAATTCGTGTAGCTAGTATTCATCTTTTGTTCTAACCTACCTTAGATGTATACACTGTCTCCATCAAGAAAAGAAAGACTTGGTTATTCAGTTATTCATGCTTTCTTTGAATCAAAGAATGTGCTAGTTAATTAGTCATTGTAAGAATAAAAACTAAATGAAATAATATTACAGAAATTGTGACATATTTACAAATTTGTAATGGTAGTAAAAGCATCGTACTAAAATTTATTGTATACGATTGATTTATTCTCACTTGATAAAACCTTAATTCCTAATTCAACTTATTTATTTTATCTCTTCGCCTAGACATTTAATGTTCATATTATCGTTATTATTTTCATGCTTATTATTCCACTTTTATAATACTTACCTTGTACCATATTCAGATAGATATACTATTGTGTTAAAGTCACATTAGTCTTTCTCATTTTCTGTGATAGCTTAAACCAATTATTTAATTGTTGTTCAAATTTATTAAACAGATCAATCAGTAATTATTCACCGTCATTTTTAAGTTGTACATTTTGCTATGGAAATATAAGTAAATAGGTATATATTTGGATAGAAATAGTAGCTGTATAAAATGTAAAATAGTAGAATCTTGGCTCATTATTTAAGAATAAGTTGACTGTATAAAATAACTCCTGCACGAAATCGTCATGATTCAAGAGAAATAACCACTCTCAGTACCTTGATTTCATCTGGTGAAGTGTACATCTTACATTGACTATTGTAATAATTGATTACATAAAGAAAATGAGATTAGTGCTGCGATTACATAACACACAATGATTATATATATTTAAAACAATTAGTCCCTTTGATAAATTTCGATAATGCAATGAGAAGACGTAGTTTAATTTTCATATATAAATGTTCTTAACAAGTATATGTGTGATCAGATTGTTCGAAACGTATTGCGCAAATATATCATATAATTCTGATAAACTACGTCTTCTCATTGCATTATCGAGCTTATATATATAAGTGAAATATAATACTTACTATTTTGTTTGATTCAACTGAAAAAATTGCAGTTTGTACAACCAACAATAAAATGAAGACAGAATGAATCATGATGGAATCGGTTCAGTTACCAAATGTAAAACCTATTGTATGTATCAAAATTATGAAGTAAATTTAATTAATTTTTTGTTCATTTATATTCACCTTTTATTGTAGACTTCAACATTTTAAATCTTAATTATTTCAAGTGATTAGATGAATATTCAAAGACAAGCAAAGTAGAGCAAAGTACACCTTGGAAAATTACTAGTATTGAAACTTAGAGTTTGATCTTTAGTTATCATAGTTAATTTTTTTCTCATTCACTTCGAATCAATACTAGCAAACATTTCTGCATGTATTCTCTATTCAAACATATCAACAGTAAATGAAGTATATATTTAAGAAATGAATAAATAATAAGCATACGGAAACATTCATTTTTATTTGGAATCGCCATTTTTGTGATTACTCGACATTTATTCTTACAATTTGTCGATTCCTACATATTACCTATTATTCCTTACTGTTCTCTATTGTGCTTTCCCGACTTTTTGAGAAAAGGCTTTATTGTATTGCAGAGAGTGCTGAAGGCAGTTAGCAAGTTGTATGGTGAATCTTTTGAGATCATCATTATTATGGTTGTGGATAGACATCTAAAGTCTTGCAAACTCCTGACACGTGTTATCAGATACTAACCATCGCCCCATTCATATCTTTCTCGTTGCATATCTTCTGGTGGAACGAGACGTCAATACATTAAAATCGATGCACGGAAGCAAAGGTATAAAAGTTCTATAATACCTTACCTAGCAAATATACTTATTGAAGAACAGGTTGTTAGAGTTGAATTAGTCAATGACCTGTACTCTTAAACACGTTTCTAGGTGAAAAGTTGTACAGATTCAGATCTTTCTTTCACCTTTTTCTTTTTTTTGTTTTTGTAGAAGAAACTTCTTGAAATACCTCGTGCTGAGAATTTTATATTGTACCAAAATATAATATTGAATAAAGCTGTTAATAATAATAATATTTTCTTTTCTATGGTTTAAAATTACACCAGAATTTTGATAATGAATGAATATTGTTTGAGTGATAAATGTCCTCATGGTGTTTCATAATGCTAGATATTACAAATAAGGCACTGATGCTAAATGTACTGGCATCAAAATTCATTATGTTGACTTTTAAACTAAATAAACGGTTGATTGTAGATGAGTCTATTGCAGCAGGAGTTTCATAAGAGGTTAATTTTGAATGGTTGCCCTTTCGAAACGTTAATCGATCAGTAGAATTGTAATGAAAAAATATTCAGTAGTAAATTAGTGAAGAAAACGATGAATGAATTCTCGTAAATCAAATATACTGACATTAATGAGGAAACTAAGGGTAAAAAAGATTAGCGGTGAATTACTTTTCATAATGTAACTGTTATGCTAATCATCTAACCTTGAGATATCCTAGTCAGAACCTCACTATCGATGTTTCTAAATTTAATCGATTCATAATTTTTCACGACTATCATTTATTGCTGTTAGTTGGACAAAAGAGATGCGCTTGGTTTCTTGGGTTTAAGTTGTTATCTGGCTACAATAAATTAGTGTTGTAAACTGTAGAATTTTAATGTCTAGCTAATTAAAATAAATTCTTGGTATAACTACTTATTTCCGAAAGGAAATGCAAACAGTATAAAATTAATTCACTTGCTGTTATTTTACTTGTATCTTCCCATTCTTATTTAGGACTGCAATTGATCAGTCTGTCGTTGGCATATGTGCATACTGTGCGTATTGCCTCGATATTACCTTAATTCACAAATGTTCTGCCCCCAAATGCCCTAGTACGGCAGAGAGTAGATAATAATGGTGCTACTTGGTGAGTATATATTTGCTGTGCCTTCTTTGCTCCGCTTAAAGGATTGATGAAAACCAACAAATTGCGTGGACGTGAAGGATCTGCATTAAAAGAAGTTTTATTTATTAGCGCATCCAGTCAGTCAGTCAGTCAGTAACAACGTAGAACTTCGTACGTACGAACATCAACTCGAGTTGCCATACCACATTAGCACAGAGACGCAGTTATCGATTCAAATCCCGTAGTGGTAGAGGTAGTAAGAGTATAAGCAGTAATCGGAAACATTAGGGTTTGAAGATGTTATTCAAGGAGTATAATACAGTGAAATAAATTTGGAAAGAAAATAAAGGACATGAATAATCCAGAAGATTAGAATTTGGGAGAACACAAAGAGTGGATGCACCTGCGCCATTGCAAACGATTTTGAGCCATGTCATTCAAGGTCTCTAAAAATCGGTTGCTATCATCTCGCGGATCCCAATCAGGTAGTCTACACTTACCAACATGGCTCAGTCCACTTGTCATTGACTTCATGGGACTCCATTTCCTTATGTTGCTCCATTGCCTTGTGGATTAGACATTTGGGTTGAAGGCTCGTAGTGTGGCCGCCTGAGGAAACCACCTGCTTCGGTTTTAGCACCCGAGCAGTATCCAAGCTCTCACACAAATCGAATGATTTATGTGGTGCATATCTGTTTGATGCCTTCTTGTACCAATGTTTATGTGTTTAGATAAATAACTAAATAAGTAAACACAAGTATTCTAAGCAAAGATGGATAGTGGCTAGCCGTGGCATAGTGGAGCCCATTGCACAAGCAAATGCCTATCTGGACTTAGTAGCTTAGTGGATCACGCGGTAGCGCTTGAAGCGAACAGTAGTGACTTCGAGTTCCAGAGTGAACATGAACTCTGAGATGCAGGTACATCTATCTGACGAGCTCTGAATAAGACGAAACGCGCATCCTGGATTCCACTGCTAGCCAATATACATCTTTGCTTAGAATCATCTAACGGTGAACAAGACGTATCACGTAAAACATATTATGTTGTGCAGTGTAAAATAAAAAAAATTTGATGGTATTTATTATTTATCTGCTAGTGTAAAAGTATTTTAAGAAGGTAGTAAAAAAATGATTATTAAGAATTAATAATAGATATAGAAGATTACAATGGAATAGTAGATTAAACCTGCTATTTTCACATACAAATTTCAAGTCTGAATAGTTATATCATCGATTCTTTATTGTGTACACAATTTGCATTCATATTTTCTTTGATAATTTTAATAGAACGTTCTGCCAAAGTGTGTTAAGTAAAGATAATTAGATATTCAATAAATAAATTGCTCCTGAACATCCATTTTTGGTATATCAACGCCTAGTAATCTTTAAAGATGATTTTGTAAAGAGTATCTCATGATGTATCCTATGTGTTTTGCTCCATAAGAACCGGTAAAAATTCAGATGAGAACTGACCTAACATGAAGGGATTGTTTGATTTATGAATTCAACAATAAAAAATGATTTATTAAATTAATTCGCATCATATTATTATGTAAATGTTAAAAGAAGATAAATTGGTCCTTCAGTGACTATGGTTTAATCAGTGACCAATAAAATATGTAGGTCAATCATTGATCGATTATAATCGATACAAACTACATATTACATTTATTTTGACATAACTTTATTGAGTTCAATTGTCTTGATTGCTTAAGTAGATAAGATAATAATTCAATAACATACTGCTTCATATACTGAAAATCAGTATGCTTAAAAATTTTATACACTATTTTAATTGTTATCGAATTTATGAGTTGATTAAAACTAGATCACCATAAGAAACTTGGAAACACCGGACGGCCGTTTCGCCCTAGTATGGGACTCCTCAGTAGTTCACATTCATGATTCAGTAATACTGAGGAGTTCCATAGTAGGACGAAACGGCCGTCCAGTGCTTTCAGGTTATCCATGGTTATCTAGCTTTAATCTCCACAAAACCCCATTCTGATATTATTGAATTAATAATAATATTGAAATTTGAATATAACATTTTAAAAGTAAATACAAATATATTAAAGTGAAGCGCCATTTCAACCCAGATCGTAGAAATTATTTATGCATCATCATTAAAAAACTACATTGTAACATAATGATCTATTTTATATAAGACTATATATCAGTTTAGTTTAATTTGTATATGAATTATTTCAAGTTGATGATATGATATCTTGAGAATAAAAATAAGTTATTTTTTCTAGTAGAGGTGAATATGGCATGCATACCAAAAAGAGACCAGTTGTAGACATCGATAGGAAGAACTAATCAACCATTATATATGAATGAAAATTTAAAAAAACATTATTGTTTATCATTAATGTTATTAAGTCAAATTAGAACAAAGATCATTGTTTTTATTATTTGATTCTTATGGTACAATTATGCATCTTATTTTGATGAATGAGTTAGAGAATGCTAGTCGGCGGCCTATGCTCCATTGGATGTAACAGGTATAAGTAAGTAAAGTTAATAATTAAAATCTTAAACTGATTTTCCAAAGCACATTGCTAAATATTATGAAATTATCATGATAATTCTTTTCTTTTCAATTAAGTTTTCTGATCACTCATAGTCCGCGGTAAAAACCAAAAAAAAGTAAATAAAAAAAAGTCTCCTCATATCTACAATATAAAACAGTAATTTATTGAGCCGTTATAAACAATCAAATATATTTGATTTCTGAAAAAATAAATTGCTAACCATATAAGTACTTTGTAACTATCATCAAATAAATTACATAGTGGGCTTGATTTTGTGCATAACTTATTAGTTGAGGTACTGATAAACAAAGCCAGTGGCCTACATCAGATTTGATAGGTCAGTTTTGCCTATTGCCCTGTACAAATCAGAATGATTCTAGGCATAGACTATCGTGATGATTTGTAGTAATTTTAATATGTAAAGTTTTAAATAATGAGGAAGGATATTTCATGGATCTTTTGTAACAGCATCTATAACAATTAATCGATATGCCTTCCACTAAATGTTTTATTTATTGAATATCTAATTTCTAAACCCAAAACGTTTGTTGATATTTTACTAAACAGATGAATAAGGAAATACTTGAAAAACTGATTATATCTACTAAATGAAACTAAAAAAATAAGGATGTCATGAAAAATTAAGTAATTCATTATCACGTTCATAATTCTCAGTGTA